ACACGTATTGTAATTCGATATTAAATGCTGTAATATTAAATATTATACAGGGTCATTGAAAAAACAAATATTTAGATTATCAGATACACGGAAAAAAAATTGTAGAACAAATTTCTACAATTGTAGATTTTTTCTCTACAATAAATAGTACATATAGGGACAGGGACAATTTGTAGTAAAAATTTCCAAATATTTGTGGAGAATGTATTGTAGAGTTATTATCTACAATATTTAGTAAAAAGATCCAAATGCATCATAAGAATTGTTCTACAAATTGTTATAATTTTTGCTATTCATTGTATGAATTTATATTAAAAATGTATTGCGTTTTATGAAAATAAATACGAAAATTTACCACAATAAATAGTAAAAATTCATACAAATTGTAGTAATTTTTAATAAAATTTGTAGTAGTATTCCATAATTATTATAATTATAACCTAGAAAAAAATGTTCCTTAATAAAATATTCAATTTATTGTTTTAATATAAAAGATACAAATTCTTAATTACATTATGTAATAAATAACAGTAATAATAGCGCCCTCAGTCTCAGTTGGCTTTTCTGCACCTGAAAAATATGAAATAAAAATTAATACCAATTGAATTGTTCATACCCTTAAAACGGGGATATTTATCACCTTTTCACTGATTTGGATATTAAATGACTAAGTCAAATAACTAACAAAAATGAGAAAGTAGGTATGTCACAATTAAGACAATAAACATCATTGAACTTGGCACAAAATTCGATCGTCGGGCACAACATTCGATCGTTGGCCACAACTATTTTTTTTAAATAATCTACTAAGGTTATTTAAATTAGTTATCTAAAGGTAAATTATTCAGAAACAATAATAAATGTACTTACCACCAATAGAATTTATTATTAAAATTTTCTCAAACACATCGTTGCTTATAATATAATAATGTGTTATAGGTACTCGTATATGTACCATGCTTTGTTATGTGAACATGGCGAACGGCTACTGCTGTCTGGTCGTTTATGATCGACGTCAGAAAACGTTGGCCAATAGCAGAATTCTGTTTTGTTCACATGACTTAGAATTTCTACAATATTATAGAATATTTTTGAAGAAGGGATGTAAAGTATTACTATTTTTTGTAGAGAAAATTACTATTTTTTCTAGAGAAAATTACTATTTTTTGTAGAGATAATTATTAATATTTGTACAAATTTTTACAGAAGTTAGTAGTAGTAATTACGATAATTGTAATAAATTTCTACTTCTACAAACAATAGTAAAATATACTAAACATTGTGGACTTTTTTCCTATTGTTGTAACATTTTATTCGACAATTCAATTGCTACAATAATTAATAGTTTTTAACTATAAATTGTAGTAAAATTTTCTACAAATTGTTAAGTATTTTTCTACAAGTCTACTACTACAACATTGTAGTAAAATTTTCTAGTCACATTTTTTCCGTGTATCAATAAAATAGATTAGTTTTATTGCATCAAGGTTTTTATAACGATAACATGGATTGGATATGAAATGGTCATATAAAAAAAGTATAGTTAGTTACGATTGCGATATATAGGATTTGAGGTACGTCTGTTCAAAATATATTACTGTGATGCGGTATATTATCGGACTCATTTGTCGAATAATAATATAATATTATCTAATTACCGGATACTTACAAATTTGATCACGGACACGTATACCGGACACAAAACTTAAAAAATACCTGTATACTTACATCTTTTAGATACATTATAAAATATTCGAATACTGTATTATGATACTACCCAACTCTGGACAATGGGTATGTAGTTGGTCTCTTAAATGCTTAAACAAGCTTAAGGGTAGGGTTGCCAGATTTCCGAAAGTGAAAAGCGTGACAACCGTGACGACAGAGCATTAGGTTCAAATACCAAGCATTTTTATATAATCAGGTCCATTTTTTGCCATATTTTTCGTAAAAACAAGGGTCCCGGAGAGTTATCTATTTTTGTATAAATCCGGTTCCTCTACGGCTTTAAATTAGAAAGCGTGGCATTTGCAAAAAAGAGTGGCATTTTTGTCAAAAGCGCGGCATTTTCGTACTTCGTACAAGCAAGTCAAAAAGCGTGGCGAATACGCCAAAAGCGTGACGTCTGGCAACCCTACTTAAGGGGAATCTTACTTTTTTCTAGATATTTCTATTTCATTTTCATTTGGTAACATGTAGCGCAGTGAAACCAACGTGAAGATATATTTTAGTTGAATAGGCTAAAAGTTGACAAATTCGTTATTCACAAGAACGTCGCTTGCTAATGTGCTGTAATTAATTGGTCTATTCGAATATTGGTTGAGACCGATGACAGTTGACGAGCTGGTTAATCTCAAGAACCTCGTTGTCAAATGCTGTAATTAACTGGTCTATTAGGGTCGCCTTATAGAGGGTATTTCTCTGTTTTCAGTGGCCGACGTATTTAAAAATTCTTCAGCTGTTTTTTAAATTTTCTGTACGACTTACAGATTTACCGATTTAGCATATAGAAAGATTATGTTATTGGATTTAAACGAGGGTTAAGTTCAGTTTAAATTATGCTTTATTTAAATCTTCATATTTTATTAAGAAACATTTGAGGGGTGGCACAAAATTGATCGAAAACATTTGATTGAATACAGTCGTTCGAAAACATTTAATCGAAAAAACATTTGATCGAATAACAATTGATCGAAAAGAAAAATGATCGAAAAGAACAATGATCGAAAAGAAAATTGATAAAGAATCCTAAAGACGGATTTAAACAAAGGAAGCTTCTATTTAAAGTTCACTTTAATGCCTTCTTTAAAAAATTTCATTTCATAATGGTTTTTCTAATGAACTTTTACTAAAACGTACTTTAACAAAATTTTACCATGTTGGTTTTACTGATCTGTGTTTAATTCTAACACTCACTGGAATATTAGCCACAAAAATGTTAAGCTTCCTATAAAATGTTTTGGATTCAAAAATTTTTTATATTTAATTATAAAGTATAAATATTTATACAACATATTTGTAAATTGTTAAGTAACATGTAAGCTCTTTGGATTTTTCAGTTATTTAAAAACAAAATTGTTTAAGTATATTTTATAGTATTTTTTTCACAGTGTCTAGGTACACGCTAACTTGTACGTAATTCAAAAATTTATATACACGCGAAACGTCTTGACAGAGTAGGTGAGCTGTGTGCAGGCCGTTGGTGTTTACGCCGGTCGTAGCTAGGTATGGATTAAAATTTTTTTGTGGCGGCGAAGCCGCCACCCTACGAGAAGTCGTTACTTCGTTTTCTTGTTGTCACGGCAATAATTTTATTTAATCATGTATATGAAATTTGCTTCTAAGGTTTATAAAATACTACTGTGCTAGTCACGGCGTAAATGAAAACAAACAAGACGCATTCACACATACACCTCCCACCACAGCAATATGACGTTTAGCGTGTATATAATTTTTTGATTTGTGTACACTTTAGCGTGTACCTAGCAACAGCGTATTTTTTTAGTGCTTGTTCTGAAAAATATAAAAATATTTTGGAATTAAAAACAACAAATATAATAAACAATGTTGAAAAGGTTGTTATAGCTAGAATACTATTTTTATCATGATAAATAGGATTTTTTTTTTAAATAGAACTTCTAAAGCTTCTAAAGGAGCAGAAATGAGTACTTAGTTAAACGAATCTTTAAAGTGTACTTTTCAATAAATTTGTTTTATGTAATCGATGCAACATTTAAAGTGTCGTTTTAATATTGAGGTTTTCCTTAATTTGATTATGAAATTGGCCCTTAGTATTCTAAAAATAATTATGTTAAGTATATCACAATGAGTTCCACTACTTATGTTGTTAGTGAAATCCTTTTCAGGGACCCTGTAGTTAAATCTCATTTTACCTAATTTCAAAAAATATTCACACAAAGTTGATATGAATGAAAAAGTAGCAAGTTAGTAACTTTCTTATGTAAAAATATCACGATTTAGCCAAACTTGCCTATCCGAAAGTAGGTATTAAGCTTGTATTAAGCGACATATAAGGTACAGTTTTTTTACTCAAAGTCAAACGGACTGCCACTTAAGTGTAAAATCAACAAAAAATACGATTCTTTTCAAACTAATTTAAAATAATCAAAATAATTTTTTCAAGTACCCTGTATCTAAGTGTAAAATCAACAAAAAATACGATTCTTTTCAAACTAATTTAAAATAATCAAAATAATTTTTTCAAGTACCCTGTATCTGATTTAAAATTTACTCTAAATAGATAAATTTAGCTACATTTTCATAGTTTTGTGTAAATAATCTGTTGCTGTTCCGTGTTCCATTCTTATCGAGACACACTGTATTTTTTATTTTAGAAATAAAATAAATTTTTGGCGAACCCGAAAACACCCTATATCAAAATTACATAAAGATCAAAGTGATTTTCTTGTTTTCTTTTTAATTTTTGACCATTTTCAGATGAGTTTTGTACCAAGTTAAATTAATTCAAAGCTCAAAATTTCTTTGAGCAACAAAAAAGATTATAGACACACAGAAACACGTGCATTCGTAGCGCCCAATCCCCAGGATCACTTGTTGCAGGCCGCCGCGTCTCCATAACAAAAAAGAAAGCATGCGAAGGATAGAAGAGTATACGCTTGGATTTTGCATTAAAAACAATGGAATTATGGCAATTCTAACGCATCAAATTAATCAAAATTTTAAAAGCTTATTAGGAACATATAAAAAAAGTCTGCTCGTTTTATTTATAAAAATATACGCGTAATAATTTTTTGAAGTTGGACGGTTTAAGCAGACTTAATTTTTTTAATGTGTCTCCTATTGAGATTGGAAAATTTTGAATAAAGAGCAATCTAAGTTTCAGTCGTTTATACAAAATATATTTTTTTCAACAACATCGGATAACTGGATCAGTTACAATTCCATTCCAAAAATCCGTCAAATTTAAGCCTATTTTCAGAAGTAAGAATCCCCATTAATAAAACACAATGTTCAAAGTACCATATTTTATTAAATAAATTAATTTAATTTAATTACAATGTAAAGTAATGCCCATAACCTCCGGTCTGTAGAAATTGTGGAAGGTAAACTGATACAGTATGTCCCGGTGAGCACTGCGTTCCATAAATCAAATCATTTACTTTAGCAGCTTGTATTCTAAAATTGATTTCATTCTGATTTAGAGTACCTGATGCAACTTTTTGAAACCTCGAAGTTAAAATCCACAATTCTTCTTCGCCTTTTTTGTTTCTTATCACCTGAAAATTATAAAATTACTCTATTTCTATAATTATACTAGCCGAAGAGGAAAATAGTTTTCTATTAATTTCAAAAATCGTAAATTTGATGGGTAATATTTCTTCTTGTGTTATTCTGTTTTATGCCTATTACATAGCATCTTTTTGATTGTCCTTATCCTCTCAGTTATTTCACCTTTACTTTTACAAAAGTTTTGGTAGGTACAACCTTACATACACGAATACCTTTCATCACTAATCTTTATAACGTTCCAATATAGTAAATCGTTTTAGGTAAAAGTCATTTAGACAAATTTTTCAATAAGTTGTCTTCCATCTTCTAAAGGGTCAAAATTTGCATAGATAAGTTGCCTTCCAATGATAGGTAAGTTAACTCCGATGACTTAGAGGGAAAGCCCACTCACGCAACATGTCGCGCGCGACTGATCGCGCGCGGCAATACTTTTGATGTTTTTAAATGACTTAAAGCCCATTAAGAGGGAAAGCCCACGCACGCGACATGTCGCGCGCGACCTGCCGCATGCAATTTTTTAGGTGCGATTTTAAACAGACGACAAGCAGCGACACCGACGTTCAGTATCAAAATAGAGGTGGAAGAAGTAGTAACGGTGTTGTTTTATTCTGTTCGTCGGCGGAAAAATTGAAACGATGTGGGTACTGGGTTCATCCATTATTTATAGACCTTTATGTAAAAGGCGCTTTTAATTTATTACATAAGGATTTACGTCTACACGAAAATAAGTTCTTCAAATATTTCAGAATGAGAGTATTGTCATTTGACGAACTACTAGAGCAGATTCCCGAACAAATATTTTTTTCGCTATTTTATTTCAATTAACTGTTCGGTCTTGAATATTGGATATAAATTCATCTATATCAATACAACTGTCGGACATTTTTTCACTGGAACTGTCGAAAAATTAACCGGAAACTCCAACTCTCAACTAGCGTTTCGCACGCGACTTGACGTTTGTATGAGTGATGCTCCATATGAATCCATGATAACGCTGGCCGCGTGCGGCAGGAAAATCGCGGGCTTGTCATTTCTAATTTTCAGCCGCGTGCGACCACGCGACAGAAGCGCGTTAGAGGAAAAGCCCACTCACACGACATGTCGCGCGCGGCAATACTTTTGATGTTTTTAAATGACCACGCGACCACGCGACAGAACCGCGTTAATGGTCTTTGAGTCATTTAAAAACATCAAAAGTATTGCCGTGCGCGATATGTCGCGTGAGTGGGCTTTCCCTCTTAATGGGCTTTGAGTCATTTAAAAACATCTAAAGTATTGCCGCGCGCGATGCCTCGCGATCAGTCGCGCGCGACGTGTCGCGTGAGTGGGCTTTCCCTCTAACGTGGTTCTGTCGCGTGGTCGCGTGGTCATTTAAAAACATCAAAAGTATTGCCGCGCGCGATGAGTCGCGCGCGACATGTCGCGTAAGTGGGCTTTCCCTCTAACAGCTACATAATCTTGCAACCCCAACTAATTATTTGTAATGTCAACTTCTAATCCGATTGCAATATTTTTCATCAGTATTATTACGTTTTCTGCTTACACAAGTGAAATATTAAAATGAGTTTGCAAGTGTTCTCAATTGAAAAGTGCTTTTGGTAATAAACGATCCAATGTTTTCTTTTCAAAAAACATTGACTGGAGGAGTTAAACGGTGGTGATGCACATCTAGAAAAACATTGTGCAAAGCTTTCATTAAAACAGATGGCAAAGATAATGTTATCGTGGACTCGATGTTGGATCATAACCGTAACACGTTACCTAGTCCCGTGTTGAAAAGACAACAGCTTAGCAATAAGCTGAAAAGGAAAGCACAAGACGATCTTTCAGAACGGCCATCAAAAATATTCCACAAAGAACTTAAATTATGTGATATTTATACTCTAACCATAAGTGATATAAATTAATTTAGAAAAAATATCTACAATGCTTGTCGATCACTGATGCCACCATTAATGAAAAAGAAGTTAATACATATTTAGAAGAACGGCGAATAGAAGTCATCGAAAATTAAGAGTATATAATAAAACATTATAGATCTAACAATATCGTTATTTAATTTTTAATTATACAGAGTTATTGAAAAGGTGATTACAAATATATTACAAATTAATAAAATACATTAGTTTTATTGCACCAAGATTTTTATAAAGATAACATGGATTGGACATAAAAATTATGAAATGGCCTCATTTACATCGATGCTGTAGAGAGGTATTTGAAGATATGAGAACGAGACCGAACGCCGTCTGGCTAGAACTAGCACATCAAACTTCTTTCTAGGAATCTCGACAGTAACTGTCGTGGATGATCTAATGGAAGGGGCACTTTTCTAGCATACAAGATTATCTGGGTTCGGTCTCCGGCTGCGACAGGCTTTTTTCAAATCTCCAAGTATTTGTTTTCATTTTTGAGGTTCGGGGATGGTCTTAATAATTCGTAGGAGGATTTTTGAAGTTTGTTTAGGAATTTTCAAGTTATTCAGCAACTTATTTCACATATTTTGGATTTCGATATTAAATTCACAATAGTCATACTCAGGTTTATGTGTTGTAACGCACGATGAAAACAACTCACGCAGAAGAAGATATGGGCTTAGTATACACAAATGCTGTAGAGGGGTATCTCAAGATTTCAGAACGTGCCCGAACAGCGTCTAGCATGAACTAGCATATCCAATTTCTGTCTAGGAACCTCGACAGTTACTGTCGTGCTTGTTCTAATGGAAGGGGCACTTGCCTAGCATACAAGGATGTCTGGGTTTGATCGCAGGTTGCGGCAAGCTTTTTGTTTTATTCTCCAAGTATTTGTTTCCCCTCTTGGGTTTCGGGGATTGTCTTAATAATTCGTAAAAGTAATATCAAATTTGTAACTACGAGTCCTGAATTTTATCTGGATGGAACTTTTGAATATTATCCTGATTTTGTTGCATTTATTTTCTATATTTGCGATGTTAAATGGCCATTAGGTTCCCGTTATATTTTTCCTGTTACTCAATATTCAATTTAATACTTGCAAGAAAGCTCTCACATATATGGAAGAAGAAGTACTCAAAGTAAGAGCTGACTTTGAGCCTTTTAGTATTACAGCAGACTGAAATATCCAGAAAATTCAAGAAGTGAGTCTAAGCTCTGAATACAATAAACGAGAATCTGAAGTGGCAAAATATTTGAGTTACATTTTTGGCTTGCCATTTTTAACACGCAAGATGTAGGTGCATTTTTTGCATTTGAATTGGGTTCCATCCAGCCAACATCAAAAAATGCTGTTCAGGCTCCATTGTATCCACATAAATTTATGAAGATTCGTTGTTTTCGTCAGATATTTGGGCAGAAAACTCGTCATCGCTTCAAAGAACCACCAATGCTTGTAAATCGTATAATTCGAAATTTAATGTTTCTTTTTATCATCCAAATATTTTTACTTTTGTAGACTTTTTATTGAATTTTCAAATGGATTCGTATAGAGAAGTTGCAGTATGGAATAATGTATTTAAGAAAGTAGTTTTTAGAAAATAAAATTCAAAAACTTCTTGCAGAAGAATTGACTATCTTTGATTTTGTAAAAAATGTGTCTCATAGGTTTAGAGTAAATAAAAATTAGTGTCAAATATATTTTTTAAAATTTAGATTATAGATTCTACAAAATGTATATCCCTTTAATCTTTGGTTTGTAAAAGATGTATCATACCAAAGTTTAAAATATGTAAAAATTACGTCGGTATACAAAAGAAAGTGACAAAATCCACCGATAGTAGTTTTGAGTTATTAGTATTTTAATGATTTGTACTTGGTCACCTTCTCTTACAGTCTGTTCGCTACACTTACGCGGGTTTCGGATTAACAAAATTATGCAAATTAGTCATTGACAACCAGTTCCAATAAGCCGCTTCCCAAGAAATTAGGTAAAATTGCCCTAATGGTCAGATTTAAATTAAAATAACGTTAGGGTAGGTACTAAATTTGTTACAAATATTGCAGTTGAATTGATTCTTTGCAAGTGTTGACATTGTATGTATATTGTAAATTTAGTGGAAATTTTAAAAATGCCTAGACGTGTGTTAGATGTAGATAGTCTAATTTGTAGTGCACATAAGTATTTTACGGGTGAAAAAAATGCCTAGACGTGTGTTAGATGTAGATAGTCTAATTTGTAGTGCACATAAGTATTTTACGGGTGAAAAAGAAAATGGCGGTCCTTTAAAATCAGTAATGTCTGTACAACAACGCGTATGCGATGCTCTAGAAATTAGTGAAACCCAATTAAGAGGAGTATTACGAAATCACAATAGTGAACTGCCGAAAGAAGATCACCGCAAAACTCGCCCATTATTGAAAACGAAAGATATTCCATATGGAATGAAATTTGAAATTCGTGATACCATTTATCGAATGAGGGCCAACAAGGAACATGTGACCTTAAATACAATTCTCTCGGAATTAATAGATAGAAAATTTGACGACATTGGCAGAACAAGACTATGGCAAGTGATACATAACTTGGGTTTTAAATTTCAAAAGGAGGATAACAGAAAGGCCCTTTGTGAAAGAAGTTCTGTCGTGCACAAGAGAATTAACTTTCTGAGAAGATATTCTAAATTTAAAGAAGAAGGGGCGAATTTTATATATTTAGACAAAACATGGATATTTTCTAGGGGTGCAACCAAGAGAATATGGCAAGATGATAACGTAAAGTCCATCAAACATACCGATGGAGAAGGGAAGCGACACATAATTTTACATGCAGGAGGGAAATCGGGTTTTATAGAAGGTGCTGATATAATATTTTTATCTAAATCAAAATCCAGTGACTATCACGATAATATGAACACAGAAATGTTTGTAAAATGGTTGCATGAAAAACTTCTCCCAGGTTTATGTGAGCCCAGCGTAATTATTTTAGACAATGCACCTTACCATTCTGAAGAATTAAACAAAAGTTCAAAGAATTCTTGGACTATTGATAAAATTAAAGAATGGTTGACAAAGGAACATATACCATTTCCTCAATATATATTAAAATCAGAATTATTACGCTTGGCAAATATACACGCAAAACCAAAAACCTTTATTGTGGATCAGATTATTGAAAGTTACGGTCATCAAGTTTTACGTCTGCCACCGTATCATTGCCAGTTTAATTCCATCGAATATATATGGGGAATAGCAAAATAATATTATGACAACCATATTGGGCCTAATGGTTATAGTGACGACGCAGTTCGAGAAATTTGGCGAAAAGCACTTTCAATTGCAACTCCAGAAGTGTGGCGGAACTGTATATCCAAGTGCGAGAAACTAATAGAAGATTGGTGGACTCGTGAAAATAAAATAAATGAAATCAGTCCAATCATAATAACAATTAATGGTGTTGACAGTAATGATGATGACAATTATGATATTTTGGATAATAATGACTGATTTTAATTTTTTTTGCAAGTTCAATTTTTTTATTTTTTATTTGAAATTCTCTACATGGAACAAATTTTTATGTTAGAAAATATTTTATTTGAGCTAAATAACCCTCTTATTATACATAGACCATATTTTCTGTGTGAAGTGTAATATAAAATTATTATTAGGTTTATAATAGCCACATAAAGAACAGGTCAAACTTTCGGGTACTTACATGGAAATACTCATAAAAATTTTAATCTGAAGCCCGCGTAAGTATAGCGAATAGACTGTATATACCTATGATTATTACTTTATGAGTGTTTTATTTTTATACCTGAAACTTAGGAGATAATTTATATATGACCGGTTTCAAACCGTAATTAAAAAGTAACCATCGGGAGACAACTCGGTTGTGGCAAAATTTTTAAAATAATGTGTGTGGCTGGCCGATGATATCACCTATTGTTTCAATGACAAACTAACAAATATTTCGAAAAATTTTTTAACCATCAGGGAGCTCAAATTCTGAAGCTGTCCGTATTGGTGTCAAATTTCCCGTGTCAAAGAGAAAAAAGTATTAGCAATTTTTCATTCAAAAAAAGTACTTTTATTCTTAACGCCCAAAGCAATAAATTCAAATATTATTTCAGTATTTCTGCAATATTTCTTTTCACAGTTGAGTGTTGGTTTTCTTCCTTTTAGATTCATATGGATTTATGTTGCTTAATTGTTTTCGCCTTCTTTAGTTTTGAATGTTTCAATTAGTATTTTTATTGAAATACTTATCCACTTTAAGTAAATTTTCATACCTTAACTCCACTAGCAAACTGTAAAGTTACTGGATTGTCTGCAATAACATCAGAACTTGTGTAACTACCGTAGTCGCCAAGCCTAGTATTGAAACAAGCTATTTGGACATCACTAACCAGTCCAAAGTATATTATACCATTACTGTCCATCGCTTCTGCTGGTGCTTGAGTGCGCCTTCTACCTTTAAGAGTCTGAAACAAACATATTTATTAATTTGTACATTTATTTAATTTTGAGTAAATTAATAATGTTCCTAGTTGGTACTCGTTGCAATCGTAGCATAGTAATAACTCTTAAATTCAGCTACTTACAGTAAATATTTCTGGTGGTGTACTATCAGTAAATAAAGATTGGTTTCTAAGATGATGTGTATACACCCAATGTTCAGCAGGACTTGACATTGCGTGGAAAAACAATTTTCTTAAAGGCGCATCCGAAGCAGGAGACAAACTCATACCCAATATACCATCCATAAGTTCAAAGGATTCTCCTAAAACAAAAATAATTGTTTCGATTATATTATCATCATCAACAATCATTTTTATCGTTTGAAATTTATACCTCTTTCTACATATAAGATATCTTACCTTGAATAGTATAGGTTCCATAATCAGGATGAGGGTACATCGTTTTGTCACTTACTTTCCAAGATGTGTCACGTTTTAGATCGTAAACGATAATTGAGTAGGTTTGGCAATCGGCTAAATATGCAAACGTGTCCTGACATTGAAAATTCTTGTTCAATACTTCTACAACGGGTGTAACCAAGGTAGACCGTATTTCAACCTGACTGGAAGGAATTTCATATTTGTGGATAAGAGTATCCTAGAAAAGAAAGAAACATAATTTTTATAGAAAATAAATTGTTCGATATCATCAAAAGTCTATTGTTCGGTTTTCGCTAATAAATAATTTATTAAATTAAATTTAAAACTTTTAATTATATTGCTTAATAACAAAAAGAGAAAAAAAATTGTAAACATCAATTTGAGTTTTTTAGACGTTAAATCGCTTAGGATTTTTATTTCGTTATTTATTATTATTCTTAACTTTTAAGACAATCTTTTGATAGGATATACATATTTATTTAATAAAAAATTAAACAAACATTAAGTTTGTGGTGATGTTTTATGTTAGCATAGACGTAGACATACAGTGTCTAGCAATAAAAAGGAATAAATTATACATTGCGCATCAGAGAACACGGGCCACCCAAAAAATTTACGAAATTATCTATTTTGTTAAGTTTCTTATTTTTTAATTACGTAAAACGGGTTATTTTGTGTACTTGTGAAGCCATGCCAACCCTGTAAAGATCATAAACAAATTTTCGGAACCGAGTTAACCAAAAAATTTATCAGAATACTTTTTTGCCCGTCAATTAAGTTTCATGAAAGTGACCGTTTTGAGAACTTTATGAACTTGTATTGTGTTCTAAAGAGTATTAAAGGTATTTTTGTACTACACTTGTCTTCATAGAGTAAAATGTAATCCTTAATAATGGGTGAAAAATATCGAAGAGCTATTCAAATTGTAACATTATTGAAAATGGAGCAAGTCAACGGAATGTCAGTTGTTCGACTGTGCAAAGAACACATCAACGGTTTCTTGCGACCGGCGCTTATCACCGGCGACCCGGTACAGGTGCTAAAAAAAAAAAGCCAAGGAGGATCGCTTTACCCACCATTGCTGCTTTACGAGACCAAACCCAAACTGCTAGAATGCTCCAAAGCAGTCTTCAGCAAGCTCATGGAACGGCAGTCAGCACTTCTACTGTTCGGCAAAGATTAAGAGAAAGTGGTTTGACAGCTTTCAGTCCAGCTACAGAACCCCTGCTTACGGCAGTATACCAAAGACGCAGACTTACTTTTGCTCGCGAACATATGAATTGGACAGTGGACGATTTGACAAATGTACTGTTCACGGATGAGTGTAAAATGTGCATATATGGAAGAGATGGCCGAAATAAGGTTTACAGAAGAGCTGGAGAACGTTATGCTGCCTGTACTCGGTTACCTCGAGTTGCTTTTGGGGGTGTCTCAGTAATGATTTGAGCAGGAATTTCTTTTGAGGCACATACGGATCTCTTTATTATTGCTATAGGCATATTAACATCACAACAATACGTAACAGAGCTCCTAGAAGAGCATGTAGTGCCATATGCTGGATTTGTTGGTAATGATTTGCTGCTAATGTGGGATAACGCACGACCACACACGGCAAGGATGGTAACACAATACCTTGAAGAGGTTGATATTCCCAAAATCGATTGGCCTCTTATAAGCCCGGATCTTAATTCTATTGAGCATGTTTGGGACCAGCTCAAAAGGCGTGTAAAACGTCGCATACCAGTTCCAACAACACGCGAAGAGCTTCGGTTGGACATTATTGATGAATGGACCACTTTTCCTCAAGCAAACATTCAGACCTTGCTGATTTCTATGCCAAATCGAATGAGAAGTGTCATCCAGAATCGGGGGTAGCAATACACCGTATTGAAAAGTAATCCTCGCCATTTCTTGCCTCTTTATTTTAATTATTGCAAAGTAAACTGTAATTTTTCAATAAATTTGTGATTTCTCAATTTTTTTTGCTTTATTTTCGTTTGTGACTTATGGTAACATCGGATAACATAGTAAAACAATTACTGACTTAATACACAATAGATTTATTGTTATAAAAATAAGATATATTTAAAAAGATGAATTATTTCGTAAATTTTTTAGGTGGCTTGTTTTTTCTGACGCGCAGTGTATTTATTTATAAAAAATCCCGAAATACGTCAATTTTGGATTATAAAATGTAAAAATGTCACCCATACCTTCAAACCCATTCGAGTGACACTCGTAATCCCTAAATTTATAAATAGGAAGTAGGAGTTTGTGAAACCTTATTTAAAAGGTTTCTTCATTCTCTATTTGAAAATAGTATGATTTCAAATTTATTGCCAAAATTAACAGTAAAAAAATTAATTACTCCTATCAAAGAAATTTTATAATACACCCTACATAATTAATAACTAATAGAGTTTCGTTCTTGATGAGAAAGCAAGCAAAAACAATTTCAATGGTTTTTTCGATTGTATTAACAAAAAAAAATCTTAGGAACTTGCTGCGTAATTGTAACCGCATGACATTAATTGCTGTCGGTGTTGTACTCGTCATTTACATTTATATAGCTAATCATATTGTAAGTTTCAAATTTGACTAAGCGTGTATAAATCTAACCAAAAAAACACTAACTGCATGTCATTTGTTATTATTAACCCACGTCCGTTTTAAAGGGCTTAAACATGACGTCATAGAAAGTAACCAAAACTGGTTTTAAAGCGATGAACCAGGAAACACTTCGATTATACCCTTGGTTAACCTTGAAATCGTAAGAAAGTAAGCAAGAATAACCAAAATAGCTTTAATTAAAACAGTAAATACAGCAAATTACCGGTTGATCGCTTTAAAACGGTTCAAGAATAATTAAATCGCATTAATTGGGTCAAGGTAAATAAATAGGAAATTATTAAATATGCTGATCACTACTCTAAAAGAGTTGACAATATCTTTAGAAAGATAACGCTAAAAGTATTATACGTGTTGATGTATCATCCAAAGGATATGTTTTGGTAAGATTATATTTGTCTATCTTACCTAAAGTTGCTCTATTAATTTTATTAGGTTCCGTTTACTTATAGAAAAATAGTCCGTCTTTCGACCCACTAAAAGGAGGTCGTGGCAAATAAGGTAAGTCACAAGTGTAGATGCTGTACAAAATTACTGCAATTACTGAGCCTTGTGCCACACCGGAGAAAACGTTGTAGAAGTTAGACAAAACTGTACCCACTCTAACAGAAAATTTTTAATTGGTAAAGAAAGTTTCAATCCATTGTAGTAGGGGTCCACGAATTCCAGAGTTTCCAATTTGGTCAAAAAACGATTGAATACCTTCAAGAAATCTAGGAAAATAACGTGAACAGTTTCACTTTTATCAACAGAAAGAGTCCAATCTTTTAGGCAGTTTAGAAGATTTCTAAATGTAGATCTATCTGTTAGAAAAACCGTGCTATTTTTGATATTCGCCATCAAGAAATCAACCATATTATGAAGAAATAATTTGCAGCTATATAGAAACTAAACTTATGGGTCTGATAGGCTTAGTTTTTTAACCCTTTTTGAATATGGGGTTACTGATGCTTTCAGCCGGATTTTACGAATATGGCCCTTGGATAGGATACTTGAAACATGTTGAAAAGGAGAAAAGGGGTTTGGTACAAAGTTTTATTAAGGAAGTTAAATTATTATTCAGTTCACGAAACTAGTTAATTTGCAGATTATTGAGATGTTAAAGAACGATGTATCCAGTAAATATTAAGTCAGGAAACCATATAATACAGGATACGAAGTAAGGTCGACCTTCCCCATCTGCTTAGCGGATGAAGGGTATTTTTTATTTAATAAAATATGTTAATAAGTATACTGCAAATGGGTTGCCTAAAAATTGTCACGACTATGTTTACTTTTTACAGATAAAATAAAAAGTCGCTTGTCATATAATTTTTTATAATTCTTCTCCTATATATGATTTCCTAAAATGAACCGTATTCTATTTTTGGAATAGCTCTGTGTCTTTGGTAAGTTCCCTACCAAGTGTTCCTGGGGCATTTTTTCCGCTTGTAAAACAGGTTGAGTCGCCTAGTAAGAGCATTGCATTCAAAGATAATATGGTATGAGGTTTCTTCCTCTTCCATGCAGAGTCTACATGTGGTGGAATAATTACGTAATCCTATCACATGGAGCTGTTTTAGCAAGCAGTAGCCAGTTAGTAATCCCACAAAGGTGGATATATGAGGCCTTGCACAAGCTGTAGTACCTTAGAGGTTTTGTTTATCCCAAATACAGGTTCGTGTTATTTAACATAGTGAGACGTAGAAAAAAATACATACTGTAAAACTTTAAAAGAATTGTCCGTATCTTATTAAGACGATTGAGCAACCCGTCTATTACAAATAGCTTGGATGCAATTTAAAAGAAGGAGAAGATAGTTGAACCACTTCTTTAATGGTTAAAATCTTTGTTAATTCGATTATCTATTTGATATTACATTCTTACTTTTTATTGAAAATTATATTTATAGTTTAGAATTGATACGTTCAACATTCTTCTTTACATTTCATGCAATTATTGCAATCTAGAATATTTAATAAAAATCGTAGTTGTTGCATTTAACTGAACTTTTCTCTGCCTAAGTTTATTAATTCAAGGTAAAACTGTACTTTCATAATTTCCTATAATCACTATTCCGCGTAAGTCATTATTGTTATATTAAGTAATTAATGAGTTAAGATACATAATTTATTTTATTTTTATTTATTTTGTCTTACTTCTGCAAGTTTTATTCTATTTCAATCACAATTCATGCAATTTTACCCTTCAACTTATCGAAACGGTAAAATAACATTCTTATAGATTTTTTTTGTAGAATGCAGTTGTGTAGATAATTTTCGTTTCATATTTATTATTTTTAGTCATGAAGCAAATTTACGTTTTTTTAATTGGAACACTCTGTATATTTATAGACTATAAAATTTGTCTTTTTATACCTGTCAAATCACCAGGCACACAGTGTTGCCATATCATAATCTGTCATGTGCGTGTCTGATATTTAGATATGGCAACAATGTGAGCCTGTTGTCATTGAGAGGGTCAATGATACATAATATTCGCGATTCAAGCTAAGTGATACGCCCTCTGGAGGAAATTAGTAAAAGGTCCCTATAAGTAGGATGACGTTCAGTGTTGCCAGAAGCAGCAAAATTTCGTTACGTCGTCGGATTTTAGTTTGTGAAGAAATGGATAAGACCTTTTATTTAAGAATCAAAATTTGTATCTAGTAATATGTAATCATACTATTTATTTTAGGATTTTTTTATAAAATCGATTTATTATATTGATTTTTTTTTTAAATATCAGTTCATTTATTAATTTTAGTTTTAAAATCATTCAGAGACAAAATCAGTTCATCATTTGGCAACATTGGCGTTCGTGTTCATTGTTTACATTTTAATTTGTATCAATTACAATTAGAGTTTTTTGTTACTTTTTAGCTTTAAATTTGTTTATTTCTTATAGTATGTGATAATATTTAAATTAAAAATGAAATCTGCGAAAAAGCCTCCAGCAAATTGCAATCTGTATGGTGTTATTGTCAAAATCAAAACTGGAGTATTCATTATTTTTCAAGTGCAAGTCATAAAATTCTGTTTCTTACGATAAATGGGTATCTACAAATTCACAATATTGAAATTTTGCAAAACGTTGTTTAGAATCAAACTCCAATATGAGTTGTGACGGTTTTATTACCATTTACATGTATACAAAGTACTACACAATTCACTTCATGATATAAGAATAAGGATAGTAAGAGTGGACAGCGTCTCCTAGGAATTTCTGAACAAAATTATGTCAATTTAGATTCAATCAAGGAGGTGCTGTTACCTACCGACTAGAGATTGAATTAGTGCAAACTATTACAGACATCTTTAAGTAACTATAAATATCGACCGACTAGCTATTAGGGGATATTGTCATTGTATAAAGAACTAAATAGTAGTCTCACCTTATGGAAGTTTCATTGGAGCGAAATGGATACTACTAATAGATGGCGCTAGTGAATATGGATAAGTCGATATTCCTTTGCAGTGGGCGGAGTTGAGGGTCCAGCAGAAATTTTTAAGAATGACTGAAACCGATCGATAAATTTCTATTTTTAGCTCTTGGATGAAATTTTATACACTCGTGATTGAATGTTTGGACTATTTTCTATCTGTTTGTTATTGTGCGTTAGTGCGTCTACGGGTAGTAGGTATTGTGAATGAGTTGTGTTTATGTTTTATTACTGAATTATTTTACTGTTAATAAAGGAACGAGTTCCCAAAAAAAAATTGTGTATTTATAACTGTTT